CAAAATGAGATTATTAGTAGAGAAATAAAAACATGCCTTTTTTTCTTTTTTTTTCTTTTTTTTTCTTTTCTTTTTCTTTTTTTTCTTCTTTTTTTTTTTTTCCTTATTGACTCCTCTGTAATAATTATTTGCCTGGTTTAGAAACAATAGAGTGAAAAAGCTATGAGTATTTTATTTCTGTAGGGCATGTCATATTGTTTGTCTGGAGTTTATTGCCTATATATCACAGAAGCATATCTTGTAGCAAAGAAAAATGAGAGTAATTTTATCTGATTCTGTTCTTTAAAAAAAAAAAAAGATGAAGTGGTTATCCATACATTTTAAAGTGAACTTTGTTAGGAAGAATAATGCCTGTGCTCCTTTCCTTAGAAGCTTCTAAACTTCTTTTATGTATGAGTGATTGAGTCATATCCCAAAGCTTATGGTTTATATTTACTCCAAAGCTCCTGTTTGATAAATATTCAAAAGTTTTATGCTGTTAGAATATTACAGAAGTTTTGCAAATATAATCTGCAGAAATGTCTCCTCTTGTTTTGAATCCTGCTAAGCTCTTTGCTTCTGATGTTTTGTGAAAGTAGATTTCAGAAGCTAATTTTGCTTAGTGGAGGCCAAAATCACTTCATTTTCTAGATTTTGAAGTTGTCATGTTTGCTTTACTAGGAAACACATCATTAGATTTTTGAAGCTGTAATGTATAAAAAATTGCTACTAGGTCTTCATACAACATTTTCAGTTTATGTGCTTTTATCATATATTCTCTTAATTATCTCCTCTCCTTTTAGTTACATTGATCTTTTCAACTTCATCTTTCAATTTGTCAGGATTTGTGTCAGTAATGATGCAAGTGGCTATTTTTGCTGTTTTCTTTTCTGAGACAGAGTAATCACAACCAGGAAAGTTCTTTGAGGGATTGCCCTCTTTTCACTCCTCTTGCACATCTTAACATCCTGCTGATGTTTTGCATTATTTTATTCCGAGTTTCAGAGACAGGCAACTTTTGACACTCAGTGTTCATGCATCAACAGCCAACTATTGAGATTTCACTTCCTTATATAGATAAGGAGCCCATGAGGTTAATCCTCATTGGCTGAGCCACTTACTTCCCAGATAACCAGCCAATAGCAGCCTGAGTCCCCAGCGACCAGGGCCTGCTCTTACTGGTCCAATTCCATAAGGTAATTACATAATCAATCATGTATTTCAGCTATAAAGTTGGAATTATTTATACTGTAGGCCACCACATACTTTGATTTATTGTCACTGACCACAGGTTTTTACTGTGCAGTCTGCAATGGTGTCTGGACTGCCGGTGGTTCTGAACTTGCAGAAACAAGTTCATTAGAAACATGAGTTCAATGCTGGGACCTCCTTCAAATAATTTTGCAGCATGATTCATACCACTCACTCAAAGTACTCCTTACAGAAATCAGGGGGCTGTGTTTTAGCACTGAATATGCTTCCTTCAGACTTCTAAGCTGTTTTATCTAAAGCAATGAGCAAGTCTTTTTCTGTTACTGTTGTCATTTAAGTGCATGACACAAAGCAGGAGCTGTTTAAGTAGAAATTACCAACATGAGTCATACAGAAAATTCATTGCACCTCTTTCAGGTACTTTTAGTGGTTTACTATATTCCTGCATCTAAGGTGTTCTCAAAAATAAAATTGCATGAGTTGGTAAATCAAAGATAGAGCCTTGGGCTCAGATTCTCAGTCATTTCTTGAGAATGGACTTCTCAGAACATAATCTACCAAAAGAAAGAATGCATGTGATAATCAAAATGTACCTAAAACAGACTTAAGAATTAGCTAATTAGCTAATATTTAAGGTTGGAGAAAGAGGAATGGGGCAGACTGTTTCCATCCACATTCTGGTTAGATGCAAGTGGGTGAAGAATATGCCAAGGCCACCAAGGCATGTACCTGATTAATGAAGGCAGGAAACAGTGGAAGCTCAGACATGTTCTTGGGTGGAGTTTGCGTTGGGCAGTGACAGAAAAGACTATCCAGGAGGTAGTTTGGGGAGCTGAACAGCAAGCCAAAGACAAACAGCTCTAGACAAAGCTTGGATTTCGTTCTGTAAGATGAGCTTAAGTTGATGCAGAGCCCAAGATCTGTCACAGTGGTGAGAGCAATTACCTGGAAAAGACTTTGAAAGAAGATTTGGAGTAGGGGGATGATAAAGAAATTTTAACAGCACAGAGTTTGTTGTAAGCTTCCTGTACAGTTGACAAACTATTCAAAGTTCCATGGATGCATTGAAAAGTTGGATCAGTAACTGATTTGTCCTCTGTAAAACCAATATCTATTATAAAGATTAATTTTTTTATAGCACAATTGTTGTTTGACACAATTACTGGTTGAAGTGTGTTTTTAAAGTTATTCAATGAAATAAGTTAACATAAAAGTATTAAAATATTATTAAAAATTTCAAAAATTGTCTTAGTGTGAACTATAAACTTTTTCAAAAATGAAAAATATTCTGGTTTTTCCACTCTGTTTACTTTTAGAAAAGGCCTTTCATGTAATAATAATGAAGCTTGGTACTGTGGAGTATTGTTGATGGAGTTTAGATATAGAAAAGACAACTCTTTTTTCATTCAGAACTCAGAATTGTATTGAGTCAATAACAGCAGTGATAAACTGTAAAAAAACCACAAGACATAAATCCAATTTAAATCCTCTCTCTTCTATAATTTCATTAGAAAAAGAAATAAAGATATAAAGTGAAGCTATGAGGCTATTTTCTAAGGAAGTGTCTGTCATATAATCCTGTTTTCTAATGGTTTTTATTTTGCTGTATTTTAAAATGAAAATAAATTCAGAAATTAGTCTTTAAAAAAATTTCCATGCTGTGTATGTTCTAGATTGCTATAGCACTGTACTCTCACTTGAAGCATTGTTGATGTGTCTTTTTTGCCACATATTGAAGACTGAATTTTTACTTCAGTGATTTGTACATGTTTCTGAGAAGAAAAAAATACCAACCTTGTCACCAGTAATGGGGACAGGATTTGATATTTCTTGATATTTCTTGAAATCCTATTAAAATTAATATTCCCATTGCTATTGGTGTCAGTGGAGTTAACTCATAGCCAGCTGGTTAAACAAGTTCTTGGGTTTGGTTGGGTGTTTTAGTCTCAGATAAAAGTTTTCTATTCCTGCTGTTGTTTAACTTCAGTTTGAGACCAACAGCTCCAGGCATGAGCTTAGATAGAGGCAGGGATATAGTTCTTGGATGGAATACTCTTATTCCTGTACAGAAGGAGTAGTCAAGTTTTGGAAGCCAGCCAGGTCCAAACATTGTTGCTAAAACTGTTAAATCAGACACCATAAATATTAAGGGCCAAAATATTATCACTGCACATAATTGTGCATACCCTGACCAATTTTACACACTTTTCTGAGAAGGAAGCCCTAAGATTTTAATTGAAAGGGAACCTCATGTTATACTGCTAAACCCTGGCAAAGAAAATGGTCACTGAGAATGTTTGGTTTATCCTTTCATATCCCTTCATGGCAGATTGTTCTTATGCTGCATTACTAGTTTGTATTGTTGGAGGAAAGTTTAATTGGTTCAGCTTCAGGAGCAATTAAATGGCAAAAGGTAATAATATCATTAACACAAACTGTCAGCAAGTTCATGTGCTGTATCTTTGTTTCCATGTTGATATTTTCAAGAACACGTATAAATGAAATGCTTTAATTCCGCTTCCAGTGCAGTCTGTTTGGTTTTGATTGTCATCTACACCAGGAGCAGAGGTATGCCCATGGAGCTTATTCTGACTGCACTGTTCACACTAATGCAAAGCTAATAACCATGGGGAAAAGATCACCAGTGTGCTGCTGTTCCATTTAAGAAGTAATTTTAAGATTTTTTGACTAATGGTCAGATGTGCTACTCACATAAGGGAGCTCTGTGTTCCTGTGCTGCCAAGCTTACTGGTCTTTTCCTCCCTCTTTCCACCTCTTCTCCCCCATTTTTGCTTTTTCTTACATAATTTTTCTGTATGCAAGAACTGTCTTCTGGAAGACTTTGTGGAGACTTCCAAGAATTGCAGTGAAACACTCTTCTTGAGGCTCCAAAGAAAATAAAGAAAACTGGTTGTGTTGCAAACATTTTCTCCTGCAAAATTCCAGATGTTTGAAGACTGACTCAAGATCTTTTATTTTCCTTAAAAGCAAGTCCCACAAAATGGCTTTGGGAGAGATACAGGAGAAACTTCCTCTGCAAGAGGAAAAACCAAACAGAAAGCCCCAAGTACTAAGCTTGTTTGTGCAGGAAATTCAGATGATCTCTATTTCACTCAGGTCAGCTCTCAAGAGTGTACAGGAAAACTGATAATTTACTAAAGGATTTCCTTTTGGATTTCCAGTGACATGTTTGGTTACCATAGCAGTGCTTTTTTGACCTGATGAACATTGTAAGGCTGGACATGACATTTTAGGGAGCTGGTGTTGGGGTTTTTTGTGTGTGTTTTGTTTTGAATCCTGAAGAAATGTGGTGAGAGCTGATGTGTTGGTTAAACTGAATTTGTAGGAACGCTGCTAGAAATATGTTTATGAAGTGCTTATGAAAGTATACCAAGAGTAGTGCATCAAAACAACTATACTGAATTTTTGCAGGAAAAAGAAACTTCATATTCTTTCCAATGGTGTTTAATATTTCTTCACAAAAAGTTACTTGCTCTGAGCACAGCTCTCTGGAGCCTGGAAGCCTTCTTTCCTTCATGAAAGAAATAGGATTTCATTTTGAAGGTTACTGCATTCATACCAGATGAGTTTTGAACACAAAAGTTACTGCATTATCTACTGACATAATTTATTGTGTACTTGTAAAACAGAGACGAAAAGCAGATCTTACAAGCATTCTGAAAACTGATTTTATTTCAGTTAGGAAATCTTTCTGATGTTTTGTAGCAAACTTGATTTAGATTAATTTGGATGAATCTTAGTAGATAAATGAGTTAATTAGTGCCTTCTCTTTTTGCTTTTTGGTACAGGAATCAGGAGCTTAAAGACCTGGGAGAACTTGCTCCTCACTGGGACAACATGCGCAAAAGTGTAATTGCTCACTGTGATCAGATGTTGAGTATGTACCAGGACACTCTTGCAGAGCTTGGGAAGCATACAGGTAGGAAGCTGTGATTTTATCTGGAATATTTCAGAGCTTACTAGATTGTTAGCCTATAAAATACTGGCATATTTAGCGGGAATAAAATACATAAAAATCTTAGAATCAAAGGATGGTTTGGATTGGAAGGGACCTTAAAGATTATCAAGTTCTAACCCACCTGGACCAGGTTACTCAAGCTCCCATCCAGCCTGGCCTTGAAACTTGCAGCAATGGGGCATCCACAGCTACTCTGGGCAACCTGTTCCAGTGTCTCACCTCCCTCCACATTAAAGAATTTCTTCCTAATGGCTAATCCAAATCTCCCCACTGTAGGTTTGAATCCCCTTGTCCTGTCATCACATGATCTTGTAAATAGTCCCACTCCAGCTTTGTTGTAAGCTCCCTCCATGTACTGAAAAGTTGCAGTTACATCAGCCTGAAATCTCTTTTCCAAGTTGAGCTATTCCAATAAGCATCTCTGTGACCTCCTCTGGACTCACTCCAACAGGTCCGTGTCCCTCCTGTGCTGGGAGCCCAGAGCTGGATGCAGAGATGCTTGGTCACAGAAAAAGAGAAATCTGATTTAAGTGTATGAAAAAAAACAGTCTCTAACTGAAAGTAAGCTTTTTGAAAGCAGTTAGTCAACTGCTTAAATATTTGTTGGGGGAAAAAAAGCTCTTGTGTTGCACTAACTGCTGTATAATTATTTCCATTTTGTTGGCAGAAGTGACATTTCTTGTATTTATGATGGTTTGCCATCATCAGAATATCCCAGTTCCAATTTTGGCATCTACTGTCTAACACAGTATGACACTTCCTGTGATTCTGTTTTAAATAATATCTATATGTATTTTCAGTCTTTGGCTAATTAGTCTTGAAAGCACTCCATAAAGTGTCATAAACAAGCCAATAAATACAGATAATGACAGATCCAATGTAATAATTATAACATGCAGGAAAATATTGAAAGGACATTTTGAGATTTTAAAAAATAGACAATATAATCTATTAGATATAAACCCTGCAAGACCTGTATTGTGCAAAGTGACTTTCTAAAGGGTTTATAATGTTAAAGGACCCATCTTAATTGGGTCTTGAGAGAAATAATGTGGTCCTGGGAAACTGAGGTTATCCAGGAGGAGCGAATCAGCACATGTAAAAGAGAAAGGGACATTAATCAGAAAACAAAGCAACCTAATACAAGATTGTATTCTTTGAATAGAAAAGCAAGCCAGACATAGATTTGATTTAATACTGTAGTTGAACAAATGGTTATGTTGGGAGCACATTGTAGCTACTTGAAATTCAAGTACTTATGAAGTAGAAATTGCTAAGATTAGGGACGTGAGCACAATTTTAATTCAGACTTTTCAGGTCTACATATTTCAAGGCATGCCAAAAACTATTTTGCTTTTCAGTTTAGCCAGTGCAGGTGTCTTTCTTCATCTTAGAATATTGCCTGAGTTTGTGTTGAATTGTTCAGAAGGGCAGATAGCACCTGCAAATAAAATTTCTCCAAAATATGCTCATGCTTCCCCAACACAATCTCATGTTGGGCTTTTTGGGTGATACCCCCTTCAACTCAACCAAACTATTTGGGAATTTAGTGGAGAAGGCTGTTAGGAGACCACTTAATTTCTTTTTGAAATTGAGAGATTGCTGTGGAAGTATGAGGAAGCCACATTAGTGTTAGACAGCAATTTTGGTTTACCAGCATATTTATTGAAAATGGATGTTTAAGAAAGTTAAAACTCTTTCAGATTTCACTCTTCTCCTCAGTAATGGGAGAATTTTAGAGAATGTAAAGCATTTTATTGTAAGAAAACATACCAGGAAGATATAAGGGTTAGGAAACAAAAACCCCAGTAATTTCAGGTAAATCTAAAGCACAGATTTGGTTCCTAAGCTTAGGGAGCAGCCTAAGCAAGCTTGGCTGGTCTGGAGCATCACTGGTGCCCTCTGGCAGAGTGGTTTCTATTGGGAGGCTCAGTGCTTAGTCCTATGGCTAAGTTTGAGCAGATAAACACTAGCAAGTCTTGACTGGGCAAGCAAAAAACAATTTAAAATATTTTCTTTATCTTTTTTATGTGTTTGCTTCAAAAAAAGGCTGAACCTTGGCAAAACTTAGTAAAAATTGTATCTGATTGAGAGGAATTTTAGTTCTAATAATTAATAGTTGGCAAAATGACAGGATGTTGGAAAAGTGCCTTAGGTAAACGTTGGGCTGCCTGAGTTAGAAGACAAAGCCACCTCTCTTTCCTAATCTACACCCTTTTATTTTATACAGATTCTGTATTAAATGTCTTCAGGTAAATGATATTTTCATACTGTCAGACTTTAATTATATTCCTTTACACTACCAAAAAACTACTCAAAATCTAATGATTTGGAAATATGCAGCCATATTAATTTTTTTTTTTTGTTTTTCCAAGGCATCATACCTCCTGTGAACAAATACATAGCTTTCCTTAAGATAGTTGGTGTTTCTTTATTTGACCTTTCTAGGAAGAACACATAGCCTATTCAATATAATACTTTTCTTTGAAGAAAATAATCTTACTTGGAAAAATGCAGTGCCATCATAGCTCTGTAACCTTGCAGTTTTAGCACAGAATAACCACAATGCACATTAACTGCTACATTGTCTCCAGCAGACTACAGACTGATTTCAGACAGCAGGGAAAAGCATCTATCTCCTAGAATAGAAAAGTTAGATTGCTCTGTGAATTAAATGCTGGTTTGTTGCTTCCAGTATGGATACATGCTGAGACTCAGTTAGTGAACATTTCATCTTGTAATGTATAATTACCCATTGAAGGTAAATTAAAGACGACTCCTCACATGCAAGTATTGTCTCACTTGAAAAGGAATACAAAAACATCTGTGTGCTTAAGACAATGATTCTTTAAACTTTTGTTTTTTCAGGTTCTTCCTTTAAATCAAGCTGTAGCAAAGGAGAAAAAACACTAGAATTCATCCCAATAAATCTTCATCTGCAAAGAATGCATGTGCATAGTCCTCGATTGAAAGGTAAAGAAATTCCCCAAGTATGACTAAGTATGCTTTGAAATACAGTTTCACTGAAATTTAGAAATCACATCCAATGTCAAAGCTCTACAAGGAATTTCCCTGCCTCATCTTCTGATGTCCACATTGTGGACATTTACTGCACATCTTGGGAAAACTAAGGGCTGGTTAACTAATTTTCTTCTAAGTTCCTTTCTAAAAATAGATTCCAGGGATGTGCTCATTTTGTTCCTATGACACTTCAAGCAAATAAGTAAATGCAGAATATATGCTCACTGAAATGTATTGGTAACCTATGCATGGTTAAAAATACTCTGTTGTAGCAGTGCAGAACTGTCATGATTCGTGGTGACATGCTGCACAATGCTCAGTAAGAGTCATGTCCTTCTCAGCCACCCACTTAATTTTTCATTGTGATCCATAATGCTGTAAAAGCCAGACTTAATGCTCTTTTTTTAAGGTGGTTTTTCTTCTCCCCCCCAACCCCATCCCTGCCAGTGTGCCACCAGAGATAGTGGTAGAGCACAATGCAGTATTTTTCCTCCCAGAGATTGCTGGGATGAGCTCACCAGCCCAAGTGGTGGGAGCTAAATGGTTCCATAAAGAACAGTATTACTTCTAAACCTAATTTGTCCTATTTCTTAGCAAGTTGTAATGAGCCCAGCACTGCTTGGTTCTAAATCAGCTTATGCAGTGCTACTCTGTCATGCCCACCTACCCCATGTAAGTATTTGCTCAGTGCTGAGTGAAAATACTGCAAACTTCCAACATCTCCTGGAAAGGGGGATAACTTTCTGTAACATGATCTGTGGTTCTTTTTAACACAGAGTTCTGTTGTTGCCACTTGCAAATGATTTTAGCAGCTTCCTTTACAGATCAGAGATTATACTGATACATATATATGACCAAATCATGGCACAGTGAATAATTTGTTGATAAATTGAGATCTGTTAAATTTGCTGTAACTACAAACATAGAAATTACATTCTGTTAAGGTTTTTGCCTTATTAATACACTCGGCATCTAAGATTGTAAAACACTAAGTACAAACAGTGGTAAAATTCCTGTTTTCTACTGTGTGAGTGTACATACCCTTCTAAGTTGGGACACAGGGGCTTCCAATTATCTGTTAGATACTGGTTGGTTCAATATTTTGTTATTTCTTTTACTAAAAAACTGTGCCTCCAAATACTTCAACAAGATGGGGATTTATAGTGACATAATGTGATAACACAGATTTTAATTTAATGTTTTCAGGTTAATTAATTAACTCAAAAGGATTTTTAGGTTTGTAATGGTGGCCAGAAGCTTAACATTGTCTTTTCAAAAAACCCTCTTTGTGAACAGGACACTGTATGTCTATTTGCTAAATTAAAAGAAAAGAGGAATGAAATCTATGACTTCCTTAAGCACCCACAACTTTTACAGTACTGGAGTTTTGTTTTGCTTTTTTATGAATTTTCTCCCTTCTTCTCCAAAACAATTTGCTTGGCATACGTGGTTAATCAATAATCAAGAAAGGTACAGGAAGAGATAAATGTTAGAATTGTTCTAGTTGTCTTCCAAATTTGGATCTTCAAATTATAAAACTCTGCCTCTATTACTTAACTGATGTTCCCTGGGTCTTGTACTAGATAGATACAGTCTAAACAGTTCCTGGCAATTGCTAATCAATCTGGAATAGGCAGCACTTCAATATTAAGTTGGTCTTTCTCAGCTCATGCTTTGCTTGGCAGATATATCAAAGGACACCTGGAATATAACCAGGAGAATGACATTGGAAGGGGGAGAATAAAAATTCATGGAGGTGGCATTTAAATAAGCTAATGATGCACAGAGGTGTCATTAACCCTTACACTATCAGATATCTTAATTTTGGGAATGCAAGATGGGTTTTAATCCCATCTATTGTATATACACATTGGTATGTGGGGTTTTTTTGTGTTTGACATGTATAATAATAGGTTTACTTTTCCTGAACTTTTGTTTGGGTTGTTATTGAGTACTGAAATGGAAGAGAAAGTGTGCTTAAGCTTTCAGTAGGAATAGCTTTGAGGAAAAATACTGTTTTCCTATGGGTCAATGGTATCTTTATCCATTTGATAAACCCCACATTGTGCTCTGTTCATCATACTAGAGAGCTTAAATCTATATATTGACATAGTGTTGCTTTTGTTCCTGTTTACAATATGTGCTTGTTTTAAATAGATTTGGTGAACTGAAGTGATTTTGCTTTTGCATCTGGCCAGTGTAAGACACTGACTGCCTCCTGTGGAGGAAGGCAGGTTGACTCAAAATTGGGATTGAGCTGTTCTTGACAAGATAGAACTCCTGTGGTGCTCTGCTGCGTTTTAAGCTGTCTTCACTGCAGAGGGGTGTCAGCAGTAGCCTGCTCTTGCTTGATGGTTATGAGTTACTGGAGCACTCCTGCAGCAGTGCACTGATGCTGACACTGCATGTCCTTCACAAGGAGCTCCACTGATGTGTAAGTAGAGCACATCACAAGGGATTCCTCCCAAGCCATGCAGCACTCTGCTGCACTGTGCTCTGCAAAATGGGAGTGAGACTGCCCCGTGCCCATCACCAGGCGTGGGTGTTTGCTCCTCATCCTTTGCCATCCTTGCTCTCCCATGTAGGTGGTGTGAGGCAGGTACTCAGCTGTGCTGGGTGTGTTTCTGTCTCAGACAGCTGCTCCTCGACCATGCTGACCACAGGCTGAATAAAGGCTCCCTTCTGGATAAATCCCCCCGCCTCCCAAAGTAACTATACACAGGGTCAAAACATTTAGTCTTTTAAATGTTTTTCTGTTCTTTCATGAGATATCTCAAAACATTTTCAGAACCCTGATGAGTTTGTCTCTTATCTTGATTTCAAGCCACTGCTGTTTTAAGCAACAGAACTCCTTATTGTCAAGTATCAGTGGAGTCCTAATAGCTGAAGAATGTGTATTATGGATAATCTGTATAGAGACTGAAAAGAATGGGCTATTTAAGAATCTTGAAGCTCACCTTAGGCGAATGAAATTATGTCACTTCTCCTTTTAAGTGGATATTGAAGAGTCACCAACTCATTAGAGCTCAAATCAATTTGAGCAAATATGTTCTGAGGTTCAGCTCAGGAAGTAAAGCATAGTTCATTAACTGTGAATCATTTGTACAGTGCTCATGCTTCTGGGGATATTTATCATCAGAATGCAAGTTCTATTTTAGGAGAGGTCTAGATTTTAATTTACATGGGAAACTTCTTTGAGGAATAAAACAGTGCTCAAAAAACATCCTGTAAAGTTTCCTTTAGAAATACATTTTAAGGATGAGGCATTCTGAACTGCATTTTTATACCTCCAGTAAGTTCAGGTACAAAACAGGTACTTAGTGTAAATGTAAATTTAAACTTAGAAAAAATAGTGTGGTGTGGGATGTAATTAAATCTTCATCTCTGCACTGACAATCAATCACAAGCTCTTTGAAAAATGATGTTTCACCTCCAGTTATGTAAGCATATATCCACACAAAGAATTCATCCCCTATGTCTTAAGGCATCAGGTATATACAGAAAGAGACAACAGGTTGTTTTCTCAGCAAGCATTTCATTAGTATGATTTATTTCCTATTCTGGTAGCTTCTCAGCTGAGAACAACTGACTTTCTCTGTGTTTATAAACATATATAAAAAGTGTTTGTCATAGAGCAGGGCTCACCAATTTAGCATTAAACACCATTATATCTGAAAGTACAGTAACATTACATCTAAACAAATTCAAACTAGAAAAGGAATAGGGATTTTTACTAACCTAATTGACTTCTCTGGGAATGCAGTGAATTCGTTGTCACTTGAAATCTTTTAATCAAGATTAGATGCCTAAACAAAGAGATGCCTTCACTCAACCAAGAGACAAGCTTGATGCAGGAATTATTAGCTGTAATTCTGTAGTCTCTGTTATTCAGTCAGACTGTTCCATCATAATGGTCTCTTTTGACTCTAAAATGCTTGAATCTGTGCATCTCAACATGACTACAAGTTAAATAATGAAAGGGGCAATAAAAGGAAATACACAATGGGCCAATTTACTTGTCAGCTTAGTAAACTGCAGAGCTGGAATATTGTTCTACTCAGTGGCACATAATTTAGATATAGCCATAAATCAAATGAATGTTTTAAAGTGTGCAGGTGGCTGTATAGAAAGATTGATTAGCTCTTAGGCCTTCTTGGGACATGGATTATCAATTATTCCCTGGAAATTATATAGACTTATCCTTACTTTTTGTGGAATAGATGTCATAGTGTTGCCATGATTTAGGGATAGAAACATTGGAATGTCTGTGTTCCTCTATTCCCATTCCAGATGCTCTGTATGATGTTATCACTGTGGGAGCCCCAGCAGCACATTTCCAAGGATTTAAGAATGGTGGTCTCCGGAAACTGCTGAGTAAATTTGAGGCTGAAAGACGAAAGTAAGTATTCTTTCCAGTAGCTGGGAAAATACCATTAAAGTTGCATTAAAATGCCATAAGCTCACTGAATAACAAAACAGTTTATCCTGCTGAATGAATAGAAGATGAAAATCTAGTAGGATTAAACATTGCATTCATAAAATATTTCATTTTTTTCCCCTGCTTTGATGAAAATTGAAGCACGCTCTACTTTTAGTGTTAAGACTAATTTGGCTAAACACAGGAAATTACCTCAAGCTGTGCTGGAGAATGTTCAGGTTGGGAGGATTTCTTCATGAAAAGGGTTTTTGTGCATTGGAACTTGCCAGAGAAGTGGTGGAGTCATCATGCCTGGAAGTGCTCAAGAAAAGACAGGACTTGGCACTCGGTGCTGTGGTTTAGTCGATATGGTGGTTGTTCTCTCAAAGGTTGGACTCGATGATCTTGGAGGTCTTTTGCAACCTTAATGATTCAAAATTATGATTTTTTTCCTTGTATTTTAGTAAGCTGGAGGTATATCATTACTTAAAACCTGCTGTTCAGAATGAGGTATCTCTTTGGCAGTTCTTGTGCTAAGAGGAGTGTAGCAGTAGACAATTTTTAAATACAGAAACTGTGACTTAAGGTAGCAGCTTTATTTCTGACAGGCCTGGGGGTATGCTAAGATAACAGTATTTTTAGTACACTGTGAAAAAACAAACTACTCTTATTCTTCAGCAAGCCAAAATAAGACTAATCAAAACTAAAGGTTTCCGTTTATTGTGGAACTCAAATGCGTTGTTCACTGTTGAACATGCACAGAAGTGTTAGTTACATCTTTTCCTAAGAATTGGATGTATTTGTGTTTGTTGCTATGGCTGTTCAGGTTTCCAAGCAGGCACAGCTGTCGCTGGCAGCACCTGTAGTTGTGACAGCTCAGTGCTTCAATAAATGGTGCTAACTCTGTGGTGTTACAGTATTCCAAAGGGAAAGCAGGGAGGAAGTACTCTGATGTAAATTATTGTGACAGTCCAGAGAAAATTAATTCCATTATAGTCAACGCTCAAAAAAGTTTCATGGATAAAATATCATAAAGAATAAACGGAAAATTATTTAAATCTGCTGTTGACTTCTAGGTTGAATAGGAGTTGGCATTAATATTAACATCAAACAGAACCCAGCAGATCTAGTTGCTTTGAAAGCTGTATTATTGAGGGGGGTCTTGCTTGCACTATGCAGTATAAAAACCCCATTAAATCTTCAAAAATCTTTCATTTCCCTGACCACCTCTGATGCTGAAACCTGCCAATGAAACATGTACATCATGTTGATCATGTAAGACGCATCAATAAACTCTGTGTTAATATTCTGCTGTCAGCAAACTGGTATGGGCAGCCTTATCCCCATCATATGAAGGCCTACAAAGTACATGTTTTCTGCTGGAGAAAATGTCTGAAGACATTTCTTCAAGTATCTGCTCCTTTACAATCTGATTAATATAGTTGCAATAGTGGTTTGTGGGTTTTTATCATAATAATTTATAACTGAAGCCACAAGATATAAATAATATAATAGACATAATCCTTTAAAGTCATAGGATATAAAGTACCATTACAGTTCTCACAGTGCTCAGCTTTCAGAAAATGAACCATTTCTTACTAGCTCAGTCCTGCAGCATATCCATGCTGGCAGAGTGTGGCTTCCCAAAATGGAGGATAGCTGTGAGACAAATTCTTCTCTGTGATTTCTCTTCGTTGGAGAAAAGAGAAAATGCTTTCTAGGGAAGAGAATGTCTTCCTGGAAGAGCACACATTGCAGTATCTCATAGGCATCACTAGACATTGCCCATGTTTCTTACTTGCTGGTAATAGGGGGGAGGAGATGATGGGTGAGTGCTTTGTACAGGTTCTGTCAAGGCATTTCAGGCCATGTCAAGAGCTTGCACATCACTTTACATTTGCTCTGCTGTTTAGATTTTCCTGCATTCCTCAGAAACACCTGTGTTTTGGCAGTTTTTAAGGACGGGGTACAAGAAGTTTACTCTGACAGTTTCCTTTGTGTTGCTGGGCTCTCAGGGAAAAGCAAAAGTCTGTCTTCAGGATGATATACCTAGGGTAGCTATGCTACTGTCCTGTCAGGCTCTTCCTAAAAAATGAGCCTTAGTCAGGCTAGGAAACTGAAGTTTGAGCACTGAAAACAGTGCACTGCAGTTTTCATCTAATCACTTGCCAGTCACTGGGGAAATGGTCACTTGTGTATGAGCTTCCACAAAGCAGAAAGTAGGAAGCCTCCGAAATTCATCTTTCCTGCTATCTTTGAGAGCAGCTCAGAGAAAACTCCCATGTTTTGGTTTTTCAACTTCAAGAACTTGTGTGACTTGAAAGACAGGAGTAAGCAAGCTCTCAACACAATCTCACCTAATGAATATTCAAGAGGGGGTCTGCTTTAAATAAATACATGAAAGGAGTAGTCTCAATCTTATAATGGACAAATTTATTTCACTCTGGTGACAACAGTGTTACTTCGCATGCACCTGTTTATTTTCGCTGCATGAAGGTGTTTTGAGGACACATTGTGTCCCCAGGGGCACCTTTTGCAATTTAAATTTCCTGTTTTATGATGGGGCCAGACTTTGTGAAGATTTTGTTGAAGGAAGAAGTGACACCTTGCGATGTCAGTCAGAATGTAGAACGAACAGAAAAAGATGCAGATTCAGCAGCCATTTTCTCTGATGGCTATCTGAGCTGAAGACCTAGCACAAGATGTGGGAAGAGATTAGTTCTCAGCCAATCCTAGTAGCTGTCGAGATGTGACAGAATTGCCTTGCATGTTTTTGACCCTCAGTCTGATTATCAGAGCAGTTTATCAAAATATTCAACAGTGTCAGCATATTGCAATGTATTTCTTGCTCAGTCTTAGACTTGTGGAATTAACAGACAAAGAGAAACAGTTATATGGTAGCATTTGCAGTTGCAAAACAAAAAGAAGACTGAGACATATGTTTTGTGAAAGTTTATCAAACAGAAGAATGTGGAAAATGTGTATCTGAAGATAGTTCTGGCATGTTTTCTATTGCACAGAATATGAATCTTTGTGCAGACACAAAGGGAAAGCCCTGTATAATAATATTTACAAAAATGCATTATTTTTGTAATTCTTCTCTCATTTATTACCATCAGGAATGTCATGTCCAATTTTTTTAAAAGGCACATTAAAAAAAAAAAAAAAGAGGGTCTGAAATAAGAGCAAGAAAGGCTTTTCTTTTAGGTGAAAAATATAGTATTTTCTGGTATGTGATCTGAAGCCCATTCTGTTGCATTCTATTCTTCATCTGTACCAAAGAGACAAATCAAAGGCCCTTCCACTACAAACATCAGTCAGGTCCATGAGGCATGGCTCTAGTATGTCCATCCCTTTATTAACAAGTAGTGAATTTCATAACACGAGTAAGAACAATTGATACTTTTTTAAATTTTTGTTTAGGCATGGTAGCATTTACATTAAAATAAGTAGGATGAATAAAGTATGATAATTAATTGCAGAATATTAATTATTTGTGTATGATATACATTTATTTTAGAATATTTGTCATTATTCTGTATTGGTATGTTATTTTAATTCTTTCTTTTCCTATATCTGTATAAAAGAAAAAGGACCTTTTTTCCTTATTTAAAATCTAATTCAATCATCTCTGTTTTAACCAAAGCACATAGACTTATGATTGCAAATTTTTAATGCCCCCTACTCTAACCATCAAGCAAAAGAGGTGCATACAAGCTGCATTAGGTGCTGTGATTCACTGTGGATTTGTACATAATTTCTAGCGAGCTGTTTGGAAATGATCCTGCTTTAAGTTTGCAAAATGTTTAAACTGGAACATTACAAATGAAAAACATTTTCTGTTAGGTTTTTTCCCCCAAAGTTATACTCATTTAATTAACTTAATTTGGGTTTGAACAGTCTAAAAGGACTATTTCTGTTTGAGGCCTAGATTTTTCGTAAAGATATGAGGTGTGCTCCTTCAGTAAGGTAGCTGTTTGGTGACCAGAGATTTTATTAATATTGCAATATTCTGTGTTCCTATTGCTGAATTTTGTAGCCTTCAACCCATTTCCATTCTCTGAGGAATCAGAAATGGTACCATTTCACAGAAAGTCCCAGAGATACTGAAATAATAAAGATCTATGTTTGACCTAATTGTAATCTTTCTTCTCAAAGGAAATGCCTGCCATGCCTAACAATTTTCACATTATTGTTTGCTCACTTTACCCTATTTTTTGCATGTATACATGTGTGTGAGGAAAAGAGATTGGACTTCATTGAGGTAGGAATGAAGAAAAATAGAGAAGCAGCAGGAAGTGTGCATACAGCCTTAGCTATTTGCCTCAAGATAAGGATTTGTGGACATTTGGTCATCATAAACAGAACTAACAGCATCATTCTATTTTCCTCACTCAACATTCCTATTCAACATTAGAATTTCCAAGGTGGCAAGGGAATCTTAAGGAAATTTAAAAAACCCAAAGAAATTCAAACTTCTACTTTCTTTCAAGCCTGTTTGCATAACCTCAGGTCTGATCATCTGGTTTAGTTTTATTTCCTGAGATCATTAATTATGCAGAGTTTTCTATGCAGCAATTTATTTTTGATCATAAGTTCCCTCTTTAGACAGAATACATATGATCCATAAGTAAGCCACTGAATTGGTATCTTCAATAAGGTACATAAAATTCAAGTTATCTGGGGGTAGATGTACTTGCTGTCTATACTTTAACTATATTCTTGATGCTAATGTCTGTGGGTTTGGCTGTGAAAAATGGGAGGTCAAATGTTCATTGTTGGAAAACTAAGCCAGTCCCAGATGGTGACAGTGTAACTCAGTGACACAAATTACGCAGTTAACAGCGGGAGTGGAGTAACTCAGAGCTTCATTATAAGTTAGACATTTACCATATTGCAGTATTTATTCTCAGGCACAAACTCTGTTGCTCTAGAATTAAAATGTAGCCAATTTAATTTTAATTTAAATTTCTTAGTTTGAAAGACAGGTACCTGCCAAGGAAGGCAGGAACCTCCCTTGGGATGGAAAATATAACCCCCTACCCTCCAAATTATTATAACTTTAAAATTACAGGGCTTTTAGGCAAAGACATGGAAAAAGGAATAACACTTCTTTACTAGAATATACACATATAAATATACACACACACATATATATCACAAGGCAAACCCGCAGCCCCATCCTCATCCTCAGCAGCACAAAGGCCCCGCAGCCTCTCTGGGCCCTCGGGCCCTTTCCCCTCGGTGCAGTTCCGGGCACGGCCAGCAGGGGCGCTGGTGGCTCCCAGCCGGGCAGGGCGGCTGCGATGGTTCCCCCGCGCCTGCAGGGGGCGCTGTGGCGCCTGCTCGGCCGCCTCTCCACACGGCCATGGCGGCTCGGGCCGTGGCGGCAGGGAGAGAGGAGAGAAGGAAGGGGCTAGTCTTTGCAAAACCACGGGAAGGAGCCGCTCTCAGTGCCCCTCCGGGTCTAGTTAAAATGTAGCAAAAAGTCCTGAATGCCTCTCTGTCTTGGATAGCTGACCAGCAAAGGCTGGTCCCGAGGCTGGGTGACTGCACAGAGGGAACAGCCCAGTGGCTGAGGGCTCCCGGCTCCTGGTACGGCACGCCGCGGCTCTGGGTTCCCAAGCAAGCAGAGGAGCATTGAAGCAATCTGGCAAGCCTCAATCACTGTGCCAAAGGAAAAAGAAAAGAAACAGTCAAAAACCAGAGGGCAACAAGATATCCAGTCAGAGGCAAGATGCAGCCTGGCAGCTGTGTCAATCCCACCACCAGAAGGAAGCGCAGGCCCTGGCCCTCAAGCCCCACAGGATCCCAGGCTGTCCCTCACCCATCACGATACTCCCAGAGCCAGTGGAGGCAGTGACTGTTCCAGACACAAAGCAAAAGAAAAATCAAAAATGGATATGGGATATAAACCATCCCCAAGACATAAAATTACACAAGAATGTCCTTAAAGCAAGTTTAGAACTGAAATTACTGCTGACAGTCGTGTGTTCATGGTTAATGATGGTGCCAATATATGGAAATGATCAAGTGTGGTTTTATATGCTTAGTGAAAGCTTTGAAACTTTACCCAGAAGGCATTATTATACAGTTTTCAAAAGGTACGTGAGTCATAATTTACATATCAGAGGTGTGTTTTCATTATGCTGCTGGTATTCTGCACTGAACCTACCCATGTGGCTTTACCCTAATGCTAAAGTTTCATTTAGTTTGTGCCTTAGGACACCTGTGAAAAGTTTCTCTGTAAGAGGCAACTGCCTCTTCTACCTAACAGTACTTACATACCACAGCTGTATGCAGTAAGTTTTAAAAGTAGTTGCAGAGGAGGCAATGTCACTTACTTGTGAGAAGCAATATCTTTTCATGAAGGGTAAGGCCACAGAAAACCTCAGCTAGTCATAGAGGTTCACAGTGTGAAGACAATAGAAACTTCAAACGTGTTGTTTCTGAAAAATAATTACACATTCTTCTAGGGGGATGGAGGACGTTGCCCTCAAATTATGAGAGAAACTAAATATTTGAAGTTGTGTCATGCTTTCTAGGCTTCTGGAAATGTTTGAATTATCTAAATAATTACCAGTCTGGTAATTCTTCCTTCTGAAGAGTCATTCTCTCTTCATTAATTCCTTTACTTAAAAGCTATGATTTACTTAATTGCAATGAGAACTGCCCACACCTTTGGTGTTACTGCCTTCTTTCTTAAAGTGGTGCTTGTAGCTTTTCTGCTGCAATATTCAGTGAAGCTTAGAGCTGTGGGAGATCAGTGAAAACTATCTAGGATTTAAAGACTGAGGGAAATTCCAGAAAGGACTTTGTGCACAGTGAGCTCGATAACAGCATTAGCCAGATCCAGCCTGCAAAAAAGACTGTTTGATGAAGGGAGGGAAAAGCCTGATGGGGAATTAGAGAAGTATCAAGACTTTTAAGACCATGTCTTCACTGCAATTAACATAGACTAATATTACTCTTTGTCCCTGCCCTATCTCCTGAGCCTGCTGCTGGAGTGTTCCAGGGAATGTAGTGCTTGGTCTGACTCTGGAAGTCCATCTCACTAACAGGGTATCCTCCTCGAAGGTAGAACTGGGGCAGTTTCTTTATTACTCAGAGGGATAGAGGTTGGTTTGTTTTTCCTAATTCATTAGGAGAGACAGTTTATATTATTCGTTTTGCTGAAATACTCAGAATTATGACTTCTACTAGAGTAGCTCATGTAAGTTGGAGATGCATCTTAGTTTAGATGTCGCTGGTAGCATGGCTGAGCTTTGCTCAGTTAGATGACAATCCTGATTGCCTCTACAAAGAATTGTATCTAGGAATGAAGACATTGGTGAAAGACAGAAAAATAGAATGGATATTGGGGAATAGAAAATTAGAATTGGGTATTGAGACTATACCTCAGCAAAATATGTAAGCAAGAGCCTTAATTTTAAAACTGCTTGAAGGTATCCTTATTTGCCAGAATCATAGAAAATGCTGAATTGGAAGGAACTGATCAAGATTTAGTTTCTGATTTGTAGAAAACTAAAGAGAAGGAACTGGAAGTCACTCAATACAAGACACAAAGGGGAAGTAGGGGTAGTGAAGAGATCTGGATAAAGACTGAAATGAAACGGAACGCATAAAGTTCAGAGGATTGAACAAGTGTCAGTATTTGGTCTTGGTACGCAAAATTAAGAAAGAAATCAGTGGTGAAAGGGCTGAAGGGACTGAAATACTTAAAACAAAAAGGAGAGAAGGGAGATACAAACAGTACCAGCTGGGAGTAGTATGTACATTCCTCTGGCATTGGTGATGTGCCAGGAGGTGCTTGGTTTCTTTTTTTCCTGTTTTAATCTGAAGCTGCAAAAGATGTTGGTTAGTTTCTCTGAAAGACTAAAACAGGGTTTTATAAAAGGAAGAGTTACGTACAAGAGGTTCAGGTGAGGGGTTGTGTGCTCCAGGCAAGAGCCAGTGGGTGTGTGCATGCTGTCTGAAATGGTGTTTGAGAACAATGGTATAAGAGGATATTGCATAATTTGTAGGGAGGAAAAGAAGAAAGAGGGATAGGAGAAGTCCTGCAAAATAATTGCAGTAGTTTGAACTGTTGAAAGTAGGAAGTTTGCAGTGTGCATTTGTGTGGTTTTGAAGTAATTCACTTCCACACCCCATTGTTGTGTCTCTTCTTGCAAATCAGACACCTGTTTTTTATTGGAGATAACTCTGCTTATCATCACTTCGTGGACATCACTGAGGCTAATCAAAACACAGTGTGGGCCACTGATCAATTAAACATTAATGGCCCACTTTGCAAGACTTAGTGAGGTAGTTAATACTCTTTTGGGGAGTTCAGTTGGAAGAATAAGGAGCCTTATGCTCTTTGATATTATTACCTGACTTTGTCAAATATTTTCTATCTCTAGAATTACAGTGTTGAAAAGAAACACATAAAAATATGGGGGGCTTTATGTTCAAATCAGCCACTCAAAGGAATTTTGTACTGTATGACTTTGAGCATGTGGTGGTGGGCTGTTTTATGCTGTTTATGCTTTTCCTGCTCAAGGAAAGGTTTGTTTTTACCCTTAAAGGCAGGAGCATTTCAGTGGTGTCTATGAAGTTCAGGCAGCTGGCTTTTTTTTTTTTTTTTTTTTTTTTTTTGCAAAAGTAGTGGTAAGATTTTTAGCACCATAAGCATTGCTGTTAATGGCAGAAATGAATTTGACATTCTGTGACTCTCTGTTATCACAGTACTGGATACCAGTGTATTTACTATTCACCTGAAAACACAGCCAAGGCAAAAGAAGTTCTCAGCAACATCAGTCATCTGCAGCCTCTCATATCAAGCCATGCAGACCTGCTGCTCAGTTCTGCAAGCCAGCGTTCTCCAGACAGCTTGAAGAATTCTTTAAAGATGCTTTCAGAAAAAGTAAGATTCAAATCCTCACTGCAATGGAAAATGGAATAACCAAGTCTCTCTAACTGCTGGGGAGGAAGGGGGGGTTTCTGCATCATTTGACTTTCACAGCATCAGGAAATGTTAAATAAACTCAGCTAAAATAAGCATCAAAATGTTATTAGAAAAATAATGTTATTTAGCATTTCTGTAGGCCTTCCATATAGAAAATTATGAAACCTATAAAGATTGCCTTTATTTAAAAGTGTAATTAATTTAATTTCTTGTATCTTATTTATCCTCTAGTGGCCACATACTGGAGTTAATGAAAATATCAAAAATTATAAATAATTTTGTAGTATGAGAAATCTTTTTTTTTTAATTCTCTTTCTATTATATTTCAAGCTGCTGCTTATGGGAGGTAGTTCAAGCCAGGTTGGTGTATAAGGTTCAGAATAACAGCATGATCAGAGATGGTGATGCAGCCTGGAGGGAGAAGCTGGGAAATTTGCTCTAGGAGATGTCACATTTTATTTCTCTTTCTCCTATTACATCTGTCTGTAGCTGTAGACTCTTCCTCATTTTGGTTCCCTTAGTTCTAAATTAGAGAAGATAATGTTCCCCGCTGGTCTCACAGACTGATAATGGAGATTAGCTGAAGCCTGTAGTGCTTCTCAGCATATGTTATCCTATAAAAATATGAACCCTTCTAGCTGTGACCTGAGAGGTTGTGAAGAGTTTCCCATTTCTCCATGGGCCAGTCCTTCAGGAAGGTGATCCCAGTATGGCTTAATAACACGACCAATAACCATTTCAGTATATCTTCAGCTACTGGGGAGTGACAGCCCTTGTGGTCTGTTGAGCACCATTACCCCAGCAGTGCCTTGTTCCGTGAGACAGTTTCAAATATGAATATTGATCTTGGCCACGTGCTGTGAAGGCATTCCAGAAGAGCCATGGGGGAGAGAAACATGGCTCTCAGTTGCAGATGTGTGGATCCACACTAACTCTGAGAATGCTGGAGTCACCGTGAATGTCAGGGATAATGGAAGAAAGCAGGGTTCAGCCTGGAAATGAAACAGGGGGATTTAAGGAGGGGGGTTGTAGCAATTATAGTGTACCTCTGCATGGAGGAGGGAATTTTTAGCTGTGCATAGAACAGTGAAGCTGCTCTGTTAGAGGTTAGTTCAAAGAAATCGGTATGCACAGGTAAAGCAAATCAAAGAAGTGTTTGTTCTGAAGATTCAAAGGGTGGTTGCTAAGGAATGTGCGTTTCCTCTGGCCATTTGCCTCTGGACAGGAGGAGGAGATGATTTCAGAGGGGCTGCAGGCAGCCATGGCACTAAAGCACTGCTTGAACCATGGTCTGCTGGAGACTTTGGCTATAAAAAAGGGACAAAAAAGACAATTCATTCAGTTTGCAAAAGTCATAGGTATTTTACATTTATAGCTGGTGACTTAGTTGAGTGTGTTCATATCAACTTTTCAGGACCAGGATTAAAATGCTGTAAAGTACATGAGCTCAGGTTCCCAGAAGAAGGAGTCTCACCCCATGTGCTCCATGGATGTCTGTCTAGCCTCCACCTTTTGCTTGGCAGAGATAAATCAGTTGTCTGAACAGCTGCAGCAGGAGTGGTTCAATGCCTGCTTCCCTGACTATTACCAAATGGACTCTTAGGAAAAGATGGAGAATAGAGAAATAGGGTGCGTTGCTGAGGAAGCAAGTGTGGTGGGAGAGCTGCTTGTAAAGAGGGGAAGAGAGATGGGGAAGAAAGACCAAGAAACAACTCCAAGAAAGGGAAATAAAATTTCAAAGCCCTAAACTCAGTGAACCTGCACAATACTGAAATTAGATCACTCATAGTTAATTCAAAGCCTTATATTGCTGTCTTAAAATATTCTGTCTGTATAGTCTGGTACAGTACTGGAGAACCAAGACTACCAGAGTGTTCCTGCTTATGTTTAAGACAGAGTAGCACATGCTCTGCTGAGTATAATTACATGATATCTACTTGTACTCCTGAGGCATATGTAGTGCTTCTGCTATGCCATCTTTCCTGCACTTTTTATATGTAAAAAATAAATGCTCTTATGTTTTAACTGGATAGAAATTTAGAAGCTAAACATCTGTTTGAAGTCATAAAAATGATTTGCCTGGTGATTAAATTCTGCAAGTTTATTAAAAAAACATATCACTTGATATATGTAAGAATTCTTTCTATAATTATTAGGTAGCAGTGAGTAAATCAGAATTATCAATAATGTGAATTACATTTAAGTGTTCATGTTGGAAATGGAAGGACTGGCTGCATGGATTGAAAGTGGAAAATTATATCAAATAATTCCACTGCTGCTTCTTAAATGGAGCTGATTTTCTCATATTAAGCATCTCCATATGTAATTTACAGTTTACTGCAGTGTTTTCCTGAGACTAACCTTTTATCATTGCTTTTTGTTAATTGATTAAGGAAGCCTTTAGCTATCAACAAGTGTATCAGCATTTGCAGCTTGCAGAAGGCTTGATAAATTAATTTTCCAGCTATGCCTATCTTTGTTTGCAGAAATACTCTTTAGTAGAGTATCTAAAAGAATTTGCAGAGTTTTTATTTCTTTGTATAGACTGATTTTGTGATTTCAGTGCAATTTCATAAATAGTGATGTTCTGCAAATTTAGCTGTACTGAGCTGTTAGAAAGTGAAGTTAAAACATAGACTGCTGTTAAACCAATGGGATCTCTGAATGGAATTTAATTACAGAATTATTTTAGTTTCTGCATGAAAAAATGGAGTCTCACTTCTGTACTGATTTTCTTTTAAAGACTAAATTTCCCTTTAAAATACTTCTATTCAATTATATTACATAAACTTTGCAGTCATAGTGGGCATTATTTACATCAAGCTGTCCAATTGTCATAATTTTTTGAAATGTAAAGTTTTTTTGAGTGCTATTCTGAACCAGAGACCTGAAATGATCTCAAACAGACATTGTGGGGAAGATAGATATGAAAGCTCAGCAAAACCATGATATTGCTGTTTTTAAGGATAGACAAGTAATGGAGTTTGAACTCTCTTGAAATGGAACTGTAGAAGAGTCTTGAAGAGGAGCTTTGCTGTTACCACAGAACCCCTCAAATCTCATTGTGCCATGGTAAGGCAAAGAATGGTGGGGTTTGATAGCACTATTCCCCAAAGACTAAGTCATTCTCCAGGCATGCACCACCTGGAAGTTGGAAGTGTAGAAAACTGAAATTGTCCTGCAGAGCAATTCAGGACTACAAGGAGACAGTCCTGAGGGGCTGCATATAAGAAAACTGTTAAAAAATACCCTTTCCCTCATTTCACCAAGTTGGTAATGAGGAGAAGGAGTGGGTCTGGTAATATCGCCAGGGAGATGAGTAGTGTTGCCAAGTCTGAAGAATCCCAAGTCAGGTCTGATTTTGGTTTTAAAAAATTAATAATTTTTCTTAGATGTGCCTGCAGTTCTTATTTTTAGAACTGTAGAGATTTATTTGCAGTAAAATTTTTAGCCCATCCATGTGAAATGATTCAGAAAATATTTTTTTGTAAACATGATGAAAATGGGAAAAAGCAGAAACTTCTTATTCAAGTACCTAACCCAGCAGCTGGAGCCTTAAGAAAGCCATTACTTTTTTAGAGCCTTTCTGTCTTAAATATCTGTGAACTTTTGAGAGGGTATTGAGACAGGAAGGCAAGAAAAAGAAGTTGAGTAGGAGTAGATACAAAAGATGAACAGGTAGTATGAAGAAGGGATAGGATAAGAATAGCAGTGCTGAAACTCGCAGAAAAGACTTCCAGGAATCTTCTCAGGAGTTCCAGGGAGATGCTGACACTTGACACTTGTTTGATTTGGGGTTTTTTTGGCTACTTTTTCCTCCAGTTTTTGCATAAGCAGCACATAAGGGCTGAACAGAGCTTGCCTGGGCAACCTTTATTTCTAGGATTTCCTGCTGATTGGGGCTGGATCCTCTGACTCTTATCTACATACCTTTCCACATCCCTCTTTAATTAAGATTGTGTGCACGAAGGCACTTCAGCACCTGAATCTGCCTGCACGTGGCAATCCTCTATGTTCTGGGATAATAAGAAGGGACCTAAATCCCACTGACCTGGCATAAATAAATTCAGGTAATTGTGCTGTGAAAGAAATTTCCATCTTCTCCTGTGAAGCAGGACTTGTGTCTGTGGAGGGGAGCTCTGGCTGGGATGTGTGGGATGTTCTGTGGCAGCAGGGTGTGCCCTCTCTCCCTGCTCTGACAGATGAACCCTGTTCAGTGTTGTTGAAGTAGCCAAAACCAGGACTGTTCCAAGCTGTCCCTGTGGCTTTGTTAGTTGTTACACCCTGTAGTGAAAGGAAGCATCCCTGCACCTCATCTACTCCTGTTCCACAGGTTCTGGCAGCTGATGGAGGGAAGAAGCCAAGTCTCCTACGGGAGATAGGGCGCCGTGTTTGGGACAAAGGAGATGGGCATGTTTGACACCCTGGTGGCAACAGCAAGTGCTGTTGCAGTGGTGACAGTCTGGACATGGTGAAGCCAATATGCACAAAGCATTTTACTTTTCTTGTTGAGGTGGAAGGGAGATGAATAATGCAGGGAGGCTGAAGGATTTAAAAAATATGATAAAATTCCAGCTGTAACAGTGAACATGGAAAAATGATACAGAGATTGAATAGCATCTTCAGAAGACCCGAGAAGACTACTTCAGAGTTTCCTTTCTTTAAAATATACATAAAATCAAGCTTGAAGTCAGGTGTCACCTACCATGATATCTGGGTAGACACCTACTGGTAATAAAATTTATCTCTGGAAACACTGCTTACACTGCTTTTGCAGATACTGCTATTTCAGCATTGTAGAGTGGTGGGTTTTATTTAGGGAGATTATTAAACTGGTTAATTGTGTTTTATCTTACACTTATTCAGAAATTATCGTGCTGTGGTTGGTTACTCTTGGAAGTGGTTCTTATTGAGGCTCGCCTCTGAGGTGAAATTTGGAATTGAAATAAAATGTGAAAAGATTATGATCTCTATGACAGATAATGTACTCCTGTGTTAATCCTTAGAACACTGGGATTGTAGAATGTGATGGTATCTCTAAAACCCTTGAAATTTTCCTCATTATTTGTTGGCCTACTTTGTTTTCTGCCTCCCAAGCAGGCCTGAAACAAATACCTGCTCTGCCTAAGGATAATTCAGTGTGTAACCTTTGCTGCACTAGCGCATTCTTTGGCCTAACCTTTTCATTTGTTTGGTTTTTTTCCTAGACGGAGTTATTTGTGCACACATTCAAGGACCAGCTGGTCAGAAGTGCCCTTTTAGCACTGTACACAGCCCGGCCTGGCTGTGTCCTCAAGAAACCAGCTGTGCCTAGGAACAGTGCAGAAGAAGGGGCTGATGCACAGCACCAGGATCATCCTTCTCAGATTAAAAGGCAGGACTCTATACCCCATCATTCTGAATATGATGAGGAAGAGTGGGTAAGTAGACAGAAACCCTTGGGCACTGAAACCCTACAAATCAGCATAAACAAGCTCAAGCCCTAAGTGTCTTTGTCACATGGCATTGCAGGGGGGAAAGAGGTGCAAAACTGTAAAATTGTGCTTTTCAGATGCATTGCAGATTTTGAAGCTAAATATGAAGCATTTGCCTAAATACAGTGTGCTGCTCTTAGACTGCCTAGTTGTGCATACAAGAGCGAAGATGTTGAGTATATTCTTGGCCAGACAGAAAAATAGTCTTTGTTCTTACTTGGGTTGGTTTTGCTAGTTGGGCAGATTTAAGGACTGGAACAGTATATGCTGGTCAGAGGGAAATGTTCTTTTCTTCCCCAGCCCCTGCAACACCCCTCTCCAGCCCTCAGGCTGTAATCATTTTAAACACACGTGAATTAACCCTCAGCAAAACAGAGCCCTTTGCCCTTAGACTCTGTTCTTAGAAAGTGTCTGAGGTTGTGTAAAAGAATTAAATCTAATGTTTAGATTTTAACATTCTTAGCCTATCTTTCAAATATATGTATTATTTATATGGCTGAAATTCTATAAATCAATTATTTTGGTGGATATCTTCTTAACAGATCTGTTACTTTATTTCATATGTACTCAAGCTATTTTTATTCAGTCCAGGCTCATACTTTGAGTTCATCACTGTATTTTCATAAACGTAAAGGATGCCAGCATATTCATCTCTATTGTAAATGATTAATAACTTGTGTGAGCTATGGTATTCCACCTGAACTGTAATTTTTTTCCACACCAAAAAGAAAGGAAGAAGAATATATTTTTTCTAGAAGAAAGGCAATTGTTTCCAGCCCCATGCATTAAGTAGTCGTGAGATTTAAACAATAAATAATTCATTATTTCATTTGTCCTCCAGTTTTAGAGCCTTTAATTCACTTTTTCTTGTTTTCTCAACAACCTGAGGGGCTGGAATGGTGGCTCTTTCCTTGAACTAAAGCCAAAATGTTTGTTTTTAGCTGTTGAAACATTCAGAAATATAAATAACACAATAGTTTTTGTAAAAGAGAGAAATTTTGCACTGGAAATGTGGCACTTTGTGAAAGCTGTATTTTAATTTAGTACTGCAATTTAGCATCTCTGAAGAGAAGATAGCTTTGCTGTAATTTATAACTAATAAAAAAAGCTGCCAGGTGCTTGATCCTCACCTATTAAACTGCATAAGTGGGTCATTTTAAGCAGTATTCATTTTTTTCTGCTGAATTAGTGAAATTATCTTGATTCAAATTAAGTGTATCTTTCACTGTTTTCTGAATTGAGCTGAGTCAGAGTCATCATCAAATTTGAGACAGTATAAATTTTGGAGAAATTTAGTGATTTTTTTCTGAATTTAAATGATTAAACTTTTCAGTTATTTCTGTCAGTAGAGGTGATAAATAATGTGAGTTTTAATAATCAAATTGCGATTAGCCTGATGGAAAGAGAAAGAATAAATGCATGTAAAATTTGAAAGAACACTTAATCTACTGTGAAACTCAACTGTAAAGGAAAAAACTTTAATATGTGTTGTTTTGTATTCACCATGCTCTATCCTCCTTTGCTGTTGTAGGTTTTTTCCTCACTATTATCAAGTACTAGTGTTACATTTTGCAGTTAGAACTTTAGTTTTGCCTGAAATCTAAATCCTTAAACAACTCTTTAAGCTGACCCTGCTCCATCCACTTCACATGACTGTGTTGCCTTATGACCATCAGAGAAGAGTCACTGGCAGCAGCATGGATTGAGGTATTCATACTGGTGCACAGGGAGCACGAAAGCATCAGTGCCCAAGGAAGAATATTTAACTTGAGAGTTTTACATTGCCTCTGGAAAGATATTCTCTTCTCCTCTCACCAGCTGCTTCTGCTCTCCTAGAACCTCCCTGCAGGAGGGCACACAGCAAGGTTTTGTGTATGACAGGAGAAAAGGTGGGCACATTGCCACTTGGAGCTGACTCTGCTCTACACTTGTGACTGGTTCATGGGGCTGGAGCTACAAAGAGCAGAGAAAATGGCATTTCCAGTAAGCTCTGTACAAATGCTGATGTGGTGATCAGACACGGGGCTGAAGGCCTAATGTGTGTGTGACCCATTCCATGTGCCACAGCCCAAGGGGGTGTTAATCATGCACATTACTTAAGATATTTCCTTTAGCTCTGAACAGAGCTCAAAAAGTAAAGCACACAATTCAAGTGGTGTATATGGAGGGACAAGAAATGACTGAGGAGCTCTGTGGTGAATTCAGAAAGGCTGAGAATCCTTTAAAAACACAGACAGCCTCTGGGACTCCACTGGCTGGCAGTGTTTAGAAGGAAGACATCCAGTTAGGTGCAGTGACAGAAAAGAGTATCCATTCCTGCTCTCTGAAATGAGGAAAGTGTCCTACTTTTTAATGATACTTTCTGATCAGATAGAAATGAATTACAATTTTTTCAGTTGAATGAATGAAAGAGTATTATTTTGCAGGTTCATTTTTAATTGTCCTAGGAGAAGTGCCCAGCTTTCACTGATGCCAAGGCCTGCCTTTCCAAGGAGACCTTTCAGTGTGCACATCTGCTTGCCAGTGCCACAGCATAGGTGACAGTACAAGTGTGACTATGGTCATTTTTAACTAGCAACACCTCACTGCATGAGCCAGGGCTCCATAACATTCCAGATGACTTCTGAAGTTTGGGAGCAGTATAAGATGCAAATGTGGCACTGCCTTGTCTCAATGGGGTCAAGTCCTGGTACAGATTTCCACCTTCCCTGTCATTGCTTTGACTTAACAAATGAGAGATCTCATTTCTCTCATTCTTTCATACCACAAGCCTACCATCCACATTGCTCCAGCAGCTAGTGGGAAACTTGTGATCAGGGGAAAAGTATCCTGCTTAGAAAACTAGGGTGTTAATATTTCAGTCTATCAAGAAGAATTTCTCCTGATCCATCACTCGACACAGAGGGTTTATAAGAATGCTTACTTAAGAGGCTGCTAGACTGTATTTTCTCCTTTAACCTGGCACAGGCCATAAAGTGAACACTTGTGAGATTGTTCTTAGGCATATTGAAAATAGACTGCTTAAGAAGATGAAAGGTCAGTGCTAGGCTACAGGAAAATATTCTGGAAATAGTAAAGGATGACAATAAGAAGTGGATTAATTTCTTCTCATGGAGAATCATAGAAGCCACTTGATTTTCAGTGATCAGAAACTGCAGTTTTACTTGAAAATTGTTCCTGCCAAACTGCAGAATTTCAACAGCATTCTTAGATAAATGTGACTGCCTTTGGTGCAGACAGAATAACATCTCAATGAATGATAAATAGATACCTCTACATTTTCTGTCTGCCCACAATCCCAGGAACCTCCTATGTGGAGAAAAAGAGCTGTGAAACAGGCCCTTGCTCCCTCTCAGTTGCTTGTATATAAAAAAGCCAGATACATGATAATAAGAGTGAGCTTTCTGTCAACAGATGTTTATGAATTTCACTTCTAAACCCTCAGGGAATGTTTGTGGGAATATTGTATAGAAATCATCTCAATGCTGGGTTAATAGTTGATTTGAAAAAAATGCTCTTTCCAATGTGAAACAAGGGCTCATATTTGTGTTGCTTGTGCAATAACTCCAGATGCTCATTAAGAGCTTAAAGCTTTTTTTGTGCGGGGATTAAGTTCCCCCAGCAGACAAAAGAAAAGGGAAATTAGATTGCTCCAACTTCTCTGAGCAACCTCAGTTGCATATTCCTCAGCAACTTCAGTGACTGGAAGCTCTGAAGCTCCCTTATACTCTCTGGAGGATTCTTCATAGAATCCTTCTCCCCAGAATTAGGCTTGTGGGTGGTAAAAATCAGTAGTTTCACACATATCCTAAATGTTTTTTCAGGATTGCTTGAAGTGCATATAGGAGGAAACTTCTGAAGGAATCTATACCTGCCCTCAGTCTTTTGACTTCTAATTGTATCTAATTGTATGTGAATATCAAATACTCATGTGTCTAATGTCTTGTTTCTGTAATGTACAGGTGCAGATATTTCCACACATTGCATTGTACATGCAGCACTTTAAACAGTTGTGGAATAAATGCAGTTCTGCTTGGGTGTGACCAACTTTTTGCCTCTTGTAAATCAACAGTGTATTTTTCATAGTATGGTTAAAGCAGGTTTATCTAGGGAGAAAATGAAACTATTGTTTCCATGTTCACCTCTAAACTGCATGCTCACTTGTCCTTAAGGCTGCCCACAAGAATGCTCCAGGAATCAGGTTTGGGGAGCTGGAGGAGAGGAACTCAGTTGTACAAGCTGGGAAAGTCCATGCTTCTGTTTGTGGGCCCATGGGATGTCTCTTAGGATGCTGTTTGTCACAGGTTGTGTCCTCATGCCTCTAGTCAGGCTGAAGTGTGGCATATAGTTGAAAAGCAACATTAGATTTAAATGTTTGCCTTAGTAGTAGCTCTAGATTTGGCTCCACTCAAAATCCAAGGGTTGCCATTTATTTGGAACTATGCTATTTCTCTGAGTTCTCAGTTTTCTTTAACCTTCTCTCTTGCTATTTTTGCAACTTCATTTTTGTGCCTGAAGACCTGACAAATACATAATGCTTCTGGCTCTGTAAAATACAAAACAAAGCAGTGATGTTGAATTCCCATTTTTAACCCTCAAGCAAACTCTGGTTGCTCTGCAATATTTTCAGAATGACTCAGCATTGAAACATGTACTTGGAGAGGGGAGGGTGGTTTCTGTGGGTTTGTTATGGTTTGGTTTTAGTCTGATTGCATGTCTTGTGTACAGCCTCATTACTTGTATGGCTTGGTTTTTTTCCTTCTTATTCAGTGCTGCAAAAGTAGGTTAAAAAAAAAGCAAAAGCTTTGATTTCTGCAGTATCCAGCACCTGAAGGACCCTCTCTATATCTCTGATCCTTAACAACTCTTTCTTATGCTCCACATTATTTCTTTTCTTCTCTGCTTGTACAGAATTTTTCCTACCACTCTGTTACTTCCCTAATTCTCCTATTATAAACTCAGTTAAGTGTGATGGTTGCAGTTTATGTGAGAGGTGAGGAACAAAACTGAAATGATGTTAGCTAATAAATATGCCATGACAGCAAGTTTCTCATTCTAGTCCTTGAATTTAACATTTACTTCAGCAGAGTAACTGATGTGATAAAATACAGGATATGTTAAATTATCAAAAAGAGTTTATTAAATACTGTGACAAAAGTGGCCCACACAAGGTTTCATTTGTCAAGCTTTGGATGTGTCCATACTCTTAAGGTATCATTTAAATAGACAAGCTGCTCAGTTCCTTGCTATTAGACCTGAAATTTTGTCTGCATTATGTCGAGTTTGGAGCACTTGTACTACAGTGTCTAAAACCATAAAAGTTTGGGTTCATTTACACTGCAAGAAAATCTCCATGAAAAAGGCTCAGGTTGGTAATAGGCTGAAGGATGAGAGGAACAGTCATATGCTAACATCATTAATCACTTACTATTGTCCCTTTTTTTTTTTTTTTTCTTCTTCAATAACATACAGTGATAATTCTGGTCTTTTCAGGACAGGGTGTGGGCCAACGTGGCAAAGAGTTTGAACTGCCTTATTGCCATGGTGGACAGACTGCTTGAAAAAGACAACATCAGCAACACTGAAGAGGGTGAAAATGAGCCTTCAGCAGAAGATTGCAAGGTGTTGCATACAGGTGGTAAGCAACCCCCCCTAATTTTTTATTTCTTAATCATTGACAAGAGTAAATAAGAATTGGCACAGCTCCAGAAAAGTCATCTAGAGAAGACTCCATAGTATCTTTGATGAGAGTGCTAATAGCAAGGTTTACACATTTGTGGGAGGTTATTTATCAAAGTACAGCTTTAATGTGTGCTCAGACTGCTTGCCATGCTCAGTTGTTTGTGCTAGAGTGTAAACCTTTTGAAACCATAGTGTTTTCTTTTTGTAGGCTGATGTAATTTAATTTACTTTAGATTTTACTTGCGTGTAGTATTTTGAGGAAAAAAAAAATGGACTGTGTCTTACACCATAGAAAACTTGTAAGGAAAGGTGAACATTCTGTATCAGTGTCATTCCCCTGCAAATGCTTCCACTTTTCTGAGGTGATAAACTGATTTTTATTTTCTGATTTGATAAAATTCACGTTTACCTGGATATACCTGTCAGCCTGTGTCAAAAGGTCAAGTGGAGTAATTCAGAGGGATGATGTAAAGAAAATTTTGTCCATGGTGGGTCCTTGTCACCTTCTCATCTTCTCCTTCTCATCTTCTGATCTTCTGCTATGATTCATGTTTGCATTCTTGATGCATAGATTATATCTGCTTAATAAGTCTAATGAGACCTTCTAGTCTGGAAGTGTGTTGCAATAAATGAAACAGATCCTTAGTGGTAGTGGTGGTAGTCCTATTGCAAGGACATCAGAGCCAACCTTTGTGCCCCTCTTCAGCTAAATAAAACAACTCCCCATACAAAATAACAAACCAACACAACTACTTTATTTTATGGAGTTTTGTATAGTTTCAACTTTCTTTTTTTTCATTGTGCATTTTATCCTGTACCTTCCCTTACATGTTCTCGACAGAATTTAATTACATCATTTTATATAAAGAGTTTTCAAGTTATCAGTACTCACTTGTAATTTCTTTCTTACATAACAAGAATTAAAATTACTTTTTAAGTTTTATGTCATTTGTTTAGTACTGGTGAGATCTGTGAATTCTGGTTGTAGTATTGATTTCTAATGCAACTGTAACATCTGCATTTTACCAGTGTGAGAGGTTTATGCTGGAGTCCTGGGATCCTTGTTTTCAGTGCAAGATGTGTTGGACTTGATTTTGTATGATTAGTTCAGAGAGCAACTTATTCCTTATCTGTGTGATTCTCTAAGTTTCTGTCTACCAGGCATGTAATGTTAGAGAGGAAGGTGGTATAATATCTGCTCTTTAGTGAAGGTGAAAAATATCAACACAGCTTTCTACACCTTTCCTGCCTTCCTCAGAGAAGGTACAAATACTTAACAGCTAGGTAAGTGTAGTTTTGAACTTGGAAGAATCCTTAGATGGTGAACCCAAGCCTATTCATTTGGATTAAAAGAGAAAACATGAATATTGTTCTTGTTCCTAACTCCCTTCTCTTCCTCGTGGGGCTAACAAGCTTTCCTTGTTGGAAGCCCAGTATCTCTTGTAGAAATGTCCATTGACATACATGTTGTGGGTTTTGTCTGTATTTCGTAGTTGTGGAACAAAAGTTCTCATGTCCAGACCTCCTTCCTCTATCTGGAAAAAAAAGGTATGAATTAGGATAATTGTTTTGGAATGCTTTCTGACGTGCCTAGTTCATGCCAGCATGAACTTTTACATAATTTCCTTCACTCTCTTCAGCCCCCTGAGTATCTCCTCTGCCATATGCTATGTTATGGATTTAACCAGCACAGGCAAATGAAATATTGGTTACAGCTTTTAGGTCACAAGCCAAAAAAAAAAAATAAAAGAAGGAAAAGGAAAGTTGCATCATTTAAAGTACTGTAATAAGCAGCCATCATGTAGAATGAAAGGTAGCTCTTGCTTAGCAATAATGATAATAGTAATGGTTAGAAAATTATAGATGAGTTTCATCCAGCTGAGAAGTTGTCTTCTGGAGCTGGTGGGCCAAGGACACAAAAAATATCCAACTGCTCTGATGCTGGAATAAATTCTTCCCTTTTTCTTCATTTCAGAGCCATCCCTATTTCTCTTGAATAAGTACAGGTGTCCTTCAGTGAGAGCAATGCTTTTGTTGAGCTGTCCTGAAAGTTCTGTAACACTCCCTCACATGAGAACTGCAGAGATTCGTGGGGCAAACTGCTGTGTTGTCATGTTCTTTTTGAGTAAGAACATCATTTTAGGACTGCCTTGGACAGTTTATAGGACTTTCAAGGTCATATAGAGATGGAGATGTTTTAAAATTGCTTTCTTTTATAGGACTAACTTGAAAGATGGAGCTTTCCGAAGAGCTATCCAGGTGTGTGCCAAAGTTGGTTCCCTAATGAGTTTCAAAACTTTGGGGCCAGAATTTTTCATGCTTGACTTCTCTGTGAGAGTGCCAAGCATGGGTTGACACTCTCATAGAGAGTGGGTTTAGATGTTTGTTTTTCTCTGCATCTCCCTCTCTGAAATTTAACATGAAACCCTAAGGGTGCACTGTGAAGCAGCTACACAGAGGTTGAGATTTCGAGTTTAGTTACAAATTTGGCTTTAATTCTGCTTCATTTTAAACTTGAAGATTGATTGTGAGCTCACAGCATTTTCCTAGATACAAAACCACACTGTGTATGCCCATAGATACATTTCTAAAATAACAGACTTTTGTGCTACTTGAAATTCACAAACATTGCATAAATGAAAAGCTTGCCACATCTTGCTTATATATTATACATAATTTGAGCATATTTGAGTATGATGTATTTCATTAATACTGCAAATATATGGGCACAGATTGATCTTTGAGTCTGAGACTGCTGTAGTTAATCCTCAGAGAAATTGGGCTGCTTTTGTAAGAAAAAAGAACACAGAGTTTTGAACAAAATAATAACAAATATGCCTTGAAGTATGGGATGAAATTTTTGCTTTTTTAGTGAACCTGACTGGGTTTTTGTAGCACATAGCAATGAAAAACCTTCCAAAGAATGCACATCTGTTCATTTTAGATGATAGAAAATGTTATGACAATAATTTGATGCAATAGCATCTTCATATAAATTCAGATGTTGTTGTAACATATATTCAGAGTTTCCTAAAGTAGGTTTATATTTGCAGTCTCAGTGACTATGGCATTGCGTGATCTTACTCTTTTTTTTTTTTCAAACATGTTTATATTTGTTGTTTGGAATCTTTGTAATTGGAAATATTGGAGCACTTTTTTTTCCTGTACTCTGCCTTTCAATGTGAATTATACCTTCCTTAGCCTTAACTTTTCATGCAGTCTGACCTTTGAGTGTATTCTAAAGACTGAATTTGAGTTACAGTTACCAAGGTAACACGCTGTGGTTTCATCAGTTGCAGGATTATGAATCCTCTGCAGGATAAATCAGGAGGAGTAGAAGGATTTTTAAGGAGAGGGGCTTTTTTTGTTGTTCTGCTAACTCTAGTCTGCTTTGCCTTGGAGAAATATGTGACAACATTAAATTCTTTTTACTTTTGCCTTTTCATTTTCCATGAGAGCTGGAATGTGAAAGCCTGTCCTGCAGCATTAGTGGTGCCAGTGAAACACAGCAGTTTGCTCTTGTGCTTACACAGCCCCTGACAGATGTCTGTGCTTGGCTGCTGAAAGTGGCTGTTGTTTCTATCTGCTTCTTGTACCATCCCATCAGAGCTCCCACCCAGCCATTCCTTCCCTGGCTCTGGGTGAGAACTCCCTAATTTGATACACACAGGATCCACCAATGATCACAAACAATTTGAGTTGCCCGTGTGATGGCACCTGGATTTTGCCTTGAAGTGAATTATGGAATCATAAGCTCTGGGAACTGGCCTTTGATAACCTTCAGCACAGGTTTGCAAAGAGCACCTGGGGAACGTTGCTACATTTCCTAGCTGGAATTAGAGGAAACCCCTGCTCATACTCACATTGCTACAGACATGTGTGCATTAATTTTTCTTGTATTATCTCATACCTGTTGGGGCCTGTATAAGTTTAGATTCAAAATTTCTGACTTTGATTGCCCTGGGGATGGGCACTGCATCCTTTCATTGCATCCCTTCCAATGCAGTGCTGGTAGAAGTGAGAAATAAAGCCATGTTCTAGTAGGAAATAAAGCCGTGTTCCAGTTTTATTTGCATCTTCAGAAAAGCTTTTATTATAAAATATTGTTTAGTCATGAAGATGAAAAATTTTTCTGTGGTCTGTGTCCTTGAGTAGCAGACATAATTTATTTAGAGCAGTCACATGTGAAAAGCTTTCTCTTCCCTTCCTCTTCCTCACATTTCTCCTTCCTTTTCTTTTAAGCTTGTCTTTACATGAGTTTTACTTATGCCTTTTTTTTCCCCTCTTTCCCTCTCACTTCTGTATCATCCTTTTCTTTTTGATAGGATCCTTATCTGGGCTGAATGTAGCCCAGCAATACAAGACAATCCCCTTCAGCAGTACTTTCTCTAAGTACTTTGGCTAAAAACAGAGGCTGAAAAATATGTAAGGGAAAGACTATTTAACTGAATCAACAAACTAAAACGAGATATAGGAATATTTAGTTGCACAGCATTCACAGAACCTTCCTGTGTTTAAAGTGTGTGAGATTTTCTTAGCTTTGTCTTTTATTACCTTTGTCTTCTCTTTCTGTTTTCACTGTGACTAAGCATGCTGAGATACTCACATGTGTCTTATTGGATGGTTTGGGGTTTAACTATTAATCCATGTGACAGTGTAGAAAATCTTGGATGATTGCAATGGAATAATAAATCCCAAGAATTCAAAATTTCTCGACACCCAAACTGTGCAAAGTCAACTGCTACTTTAAAGTGCAGGAATACCAGGAAAGCTTATTCAGGTTTTTATTGTTCCTGCGAGAACTGCTGCAGCATTATGAGTACAAAGCCTCCTCCTTTTTCAAAGAGCTTAGCCCTCAGCTGGAGTTCAACTGAGCTCCAAGAGCTGTGTGGCAAAATAAAGAAATAAGGCACTGACCTTTTTATGGTGCAAAGTTGAATATGTGCAATCTTCTGT